GATCATTTGGGACTGAACGAGTCGATCGGCCATCAGGCCACATTCCTGTAGACAGAGTATACCGAGGAATCGAGAGAAAACAAGAGGCAAATGATAACGGTTGTATTTCCAATTCAAACAATCCAAAAACAGTAACCCTATGAACTGCCAACTACTGCCAGATACAACTCGAAAAACGGTCACTTAAAGGTGACAGATTCGATTTATCATAACCCTGCGCTTCAGTTCGAGCAACGGGTACGATAGCTTTACGTGGTCTCAAAAATATCCGAGAAATGTTCATATCATAAAGAAATTTAATGAATATCCACATGATTTCCAACAATGGCCGCTTCCGCGTAAACCGGTGTGCGTATGTTTACCTGTCCGTTTATGTCTGTCTATCTATCTATATGTATGTATATGTGTGGAAAACAACACAATCGACTGCATTAGGTTCTCCTTCAGTCGACTGACTATGAGGGATAATCTACTTCTTGATTGTTCTCCATTCTAATCTGCGACATCTACAGCTCGTTTTCTATCACAAATTCACAGAATTTGGAAGGAGACGACCACGAGGTGTCAAGATCACCAACCATCGATTTGGATACTGACCACTAGAAGTTTGTTCAATACAGTAAACTAACTCTAGATATATTTAAATACTCAGAATAGGTCTAAACAACTGATGCCCAAAGTGTGCTGGTTAGCTGTGAAACATCATGTTAACAGATTCTTAGGGCAGCGTCCGCGTTCAGCATTCATTCATCAGTTTCCGTGACGTGACGGGTCATAAAAAGGTTAGGCTGTGGGGGGGATATGCCACAAGACAGACAATAAAGAAAGATGTTTTGACCGAATACGCTCGGATGAGGTTGATGAAACGTTCGGAAGTGAAATGGTGGGCCATGAAAACAAGGCTAATATAACACCGAGAAGCCAAGCTAATAAATAACCGCCAGCAGTTTCCGATCTCTATCCATTGATTTGGCTAGTACCGAGCCATTCCCGTTGGAAAGCTCAACACAGGTAAGACCATCAAATATATTAGTCAAGTTTACCATAGATATCACTGTAGCAGGAATTCGCACAAGCTGAGAGCGAACCCGAGAAGAGATCGCCTGGAGGAATCGATACGACGAACAGTGAGGTAGCACCACAGCGCCCATGGAAGTATTTGTGATCCAGGTACTTATGACCTTAACAAAGTTCATGCTAAGGCCGAGGTTCGATTCTTTTTATACTAGGCATTATATGAATAACTAGAAACAAAAATCAGAAGAGTATACCACAAAACCGGTTACGTGTTCTCGAGAATTTCGTTTTCAGTTATTCACACACACTACTCATCATCAACACATCAAACAAATTCCGCGTGTTGCATTGTGATGTCGACAAAGGATATTATTTATTTGTATGCCGATAAATATGTACCAATAAAAAAACCGAACGGTGCCGAACAGAAGTTTAGCAAACAAGACTAGCACACAACATGCAGAGCAAAGCGGGAGGATTCAGTTTCACACATTTGGACCAACAACGTACCTCCTCTAGTCGCGCAACTCGTTGTAATAACAGACCGTTTTCCGTCCGGAGACGCTGCAGAACGAAGAAAAAATAGGAAACTGATGGAGATAAGGAGAGAGAGAGACTTACTACATCTTATACTCAGCTCAAACAAAACCAGTGACAGGGGAAAATGGAAGAAATGGAACCTGTGTCACGAGAGTCACGGGAGTTCAGGGTTTTTCCACACATGAGACGGAAATGACTTTTGCATAGCGATGGCAGATAAGCATGGTATAATCTACGTGCGTGCCTAAGTTTGTACGTTATCCGGATGCATTGATAAAGTTGCGTCAAGAATTATGAAAAAGAATATCACCATAACATATATAATTCACGAGGTAGATATCACAGCTGACGTTTGTAATAGAACAGACGTGTTGACAAGAAAAAAAGAATCGTAGGAAAAACAGGAGCGGTCCCAACGAGCATGTCTGCCAGAAAGTGGTTGAAAATAAATGGAAAGTTGCCAGTTGCAACTGAAAAATTCACCCTGATGAAACACATTCACTTCGGAAAAGAGTTAATTGATTATATATAAAGCACCAGATAGGAGATATCAGTGCGACTGTATAGCAAACAATAATAAACCGCTGAATCTGCCGATAATCCAACTGTGTGTGAAGACCGGTCGTTCAGTGCCACAAACCACTCAGCGAGCTAAGGATCACTGCTTGGCTGGTTTATAGTATAGGCTAACCGGTATTCGACGATCAAATGTGATAAAATAATCACGGAGCTTTTTATTGTTGTTGCTGCTGTTGTTCTTAAATTNTTTGATAACCTCGATGCACTTTTTTTCTTACACATCTAAGTGTGATAAACAGCAGCCGAGGCGAACTCTATATTCACAAGGACCTGATGCTCAGTGGTGGAAAACGAGAACCCAAGTCCCGGGACTTGGAATGGAGAACCACATAAAGCCCCGATAGGTTAGGCGTGGTATTGAACCGGACGACAGCACAGTTGCCTCCACCAAAGTCGAGTGACGGTGGCGGGGCTCGGACCATGGGGTCCAAAGCACGCCGGAGACAGCGACTAAACCACTGCGAAACCACCACCACTCTCTTTTATCTGTATTCTTAAATTTGTTTAGTACACTTATATGCGACGCTCGTTTACAGTGACCCAACCCATGCAGACGCAGGTCAAATAATACTGTTTAACAATACACACTTTTGGTATTTGACACATGCATTAGTGTGACTTAATCTCTGTTGTGTTCATGACCACCAAAGTCGAGCAGTGCATCTCTTTTATCAATGGTACCACGGCTTGCGACGGCAAATGGCCGATCGAGAACAAACACACGAAACAACTGAGACCCCGGGATGATAATACTTTGGTCCTCTTTATCAAACTTAACTTTCTGATTCGCTTTTCCCGTAAGAACTGATGCATATTTAAACCCCTGAGGACCATCCGCCCTAAGTTAATTGAACCGATACGATCACTGGTGTCCATGATCAACCGGCTGGTTCGAATTACCAAAAGCATTAGTCGGAAATGGTGTATCACTTGAGCTTGAACATGTGAAAAGTACTTTGCAGGTAATTCGGGAAAATTCAACTTTCCCCACCCACTTGCTTCTGTTTGACTGTGAGATACGAGGTTTCCTTTGTACGGAGTTTCTTTGAAATATGTATNGTTCTGTTATCATTTTTCAAATATTGATGTCAGCAAAAGGAATCCCCATACTGATGATATTGGGGAAACCTACTACGGTAAGTTTGTAATAATCAACTAGCCACTAATTAATCAATCAGATCCCACAGAAAGGGAATAAATATGAAAAACACCACGTGACCAGAACAACCGCGTGAGAGCTTCGTTCCTCTGCGATTTCGATAAATCCTAACTGACTGACGATCCGTGTGTACGTGTGTGTTAAAACAGCATTCCATCTTGTCGGAGCACACACACACATACACAAAAGTAGGTGGAGCTTTGGGGATAGAGAATAAGACCCCAACCCCGGATAATACGTAAAACACCAGAGGAGCTCATGTCTGGAGGGAACAGTAAAACCGAACGACTGACCAATAAGTTGGTTACCGAATTCGATCAGTCGATCGGGTCAATCGAACATAAAGTGTGTTTATGGAAAAACGAGTCTTTGCGAGTCGCAGGGAACAGAAGTGGGTTAAAAATAGGGAGTACCTGGACTGTGTGGCAATAGGAAGCAATAGAAGCAAAATCCAGGTATGTTTAGTCATAAAGCCTGCGTCTCAGACAGGGTCTCCCGAAGCAGTCTGTGTGAACCAATGCACTGATTCTACATTGCTAAATTCCTTGGTTGAATGAATGATTGGACAAGGGAGCACTGGGCAAACAATAAACACGGAACCAATCGTATGCATTCAGACGAATTTTCTCCTCCTTTTCTGGTACTTCGAAATGCACAATACTGAGAGAAAGTGTCAGCAAGTACCCGTGTAATCGGGTGTAGGACACAAAAATAACCATAACCAGATTATCGGAGACGGGGCGGGGCGGGGCGGGGAGCAAACAGTGAAACAGCGAAGAAGGACTCACGCGGAGTTCTATTTGGTCCTCTCGTTCTTGGCTTCGCATGGTCAAGTATTCTTTTTCTAACCTGCGGAAAATTAACACAGAATAAGCGCTAAATCTCGGGATCAATTGAATTGTAGGCGAAAGAATAGCACTGTGCTACTCAATATCTATCAATCAACGCAATAATCACCACTAATGATGACCCATTTATCAAAGCGTGAAGTCCGCTTTCGGCTACACAAAAGTAAAAATACTGCAAAACCTCCCACCCACTCTGTCCCTCGATATCCGATAGATTGCACTGAGTGATATGGTACTGAAGTCCCACAACAAACCGAACTTAGATGTGAATGTGCAAAGTAAGGCAAAGCAAGTAGGAAACTCCACGCATCAGTGGGGGGAAAAATGATTCAGTGTTATTCACCATCATCCCGAGAAACGGGACAGAACCAAAATTGGATGGTTGATTCACTAACTTTTTCAATTTTTTCACATTTAATTTGAAAGCGCTGGCACTCTCAAATATGGCGCTTGAGTGTTGCTCCCATTGCACGGGGCCTTCGTGTTGCAAATACTACAAAAGAGACGAAGGTAAAGTGGGAAGAAAAGAGAACGAATGCAACTAGGACAAAAAATATTCGGGTACGTTTCGAAAAGCGAAATGAATGCACCATTCCAAAATGCCTTGCAGCCCATATGCGAAACCACGAATCCATATGGATAAGTCTATCTTAACGAGATTGGTATGTTTGTTTTCCATCCACTAGCAACCTAATTGACGGCACATCAAAAGTATCAAAAATCGACCGGTAGCAATGCCATAACATGGATTTGTTGGTCATCAAAAATTGGAGTCTGACTTTGAGGTGTTTTGGTGAATGGATTTGAAATTATCTACTCTGAATCACTTTGGTATGAGAATGTGACCAATTTTGTCTCCAATGAGTGTATGTTATATAGATATTATTACAAAAGTAAATACTGTGATGCAAACTACACGAATTCCAATAAGAAATCAACGGCAGAGCAATGGGTCGATCTAGCGGCAGTTTCACAAGTTTCGATCAACCACTTCTCCGGTCTTCGAATAACTGAGTTGCTGAATTTGATCGAAACGCCAGCTCAGACGACCAGGAGTGTGGAATTTGTTTGACCTCGTCGTTTCCGCTATGATTAAAAGATGATCGGCCTCACTCTGTCTGGTTCAACGAGTTGTATACAAGGTGTACAAGGTGGTACGACAATAACCAAACGATCGCGGTTTGAAAACAATCCGGAAGAAAGAGCGCTGAATAGCTTTCGTTCTTTTGGCCTCAATGGGAATTACCCGCAATGCTTCCTATATCTATACCCCTGATGGAACGGCGAATATTTTGGTCTGGAGAAGAACATACTAGCCGTAAGCTACACGGTCGATGGCCAACACATGCGTACGTAGTTATTCCAAGACAAACAATACACCGAATTGTGAATTCGTAAATAGATATAAATACAAAATCCTGTTTTCAGCAAAAAGCCCAGTTCGTCAACAAAGAATCTATGAAAATACAGTAGCATCTTTTGTTTTACTTCATTTTTATCAGTCGCCACACGACTGACGATCCCGGAGACTTTCATCCAGAATAAAGCAGATTAACAACAACTAACAACAAAAGTCACAACTCCTAATGTACTTCATTTATTCTCCATAAAGAGGCAAACCAACTTAGTCCTCGCAGTCTCACT